TGAGCCATAGTCTTAACTGCTAGTATCCCCCCTAATAAGGCGTAAAAAGGTTCCCTATATCATCCCCTACATATAACCCCTTTAAGGATTTAAAGTATGACACATAATATGACCTCTTGTAAAGTTGGAGTTGGGGTCCTGACAGGTCCTGGCCCTTTCAGTGTCAAAGGCTGCACACGAGAGTTTTATTATGCGGCAAAGCTTTGTCAATGCGAACAGGCAGGGCTTTGATTCTTTGATTGCAAAGCAACTTTAGTCTTCCAGGATTCTTCTGGTTCTGCAACAACATATTACTGTCGCCCCCGCTATTATTGCAATTGAAACATTAGGGCCTAAGCGCACACTATCAGGGGCCAGCTATCCCCATTTAAGGGTATACACTAGGGGGGGGGGGGGCGCTTGGTACAGAACCCCTGAAGTTGGGGTTCAGATACCAAAAAGACAGTAAGAACCCCAGGGCTGCATGTTTTGCTTCCCCAAGGGTCCAAGGATCCAAAAGATAGGGCTGCAGGGCCCAAATACCAATGATATCATAGTATTTGGGCCTTAATGGATCCGTAGGGCTTGTTTTCAAAGCTCGAAGTGCAACCTTGCAGTCCAAACTGCGGCAAGGAGATTGCGCGAGCTGTTGCAGGCCCCGCCCTCCGACGTTGTTAGGGTTTACGGTTTTGGGTTCAGGGTTGAGGCGTAGGGTTTCAGGGTTTAGAGTTTTAGGGTTCAGGTGGCAGGGTTCAGTGTTTCCCGCCGGCTCTGGGCGATGGTACATGGTCTATCCTCAAGGGCTCAAGTGCTCATTCTTGGTACACCTACCAAGACCCTCTAGAACCCGTAGTTGGCGATATATGGACCCTGACAGTGGGTATTTACGCCGTAATAGAGGGCAGGAAAAGGGCCTAGGTTCTCAGAACATAACTTAGACTTACCTGGACCCCCAAAAGTATGTAAGATAATGGCCTTTATGGCTATTATTGGGGGGTTTTTGGCGATTATTTTACATACTTTTGGGGTCTAGGTACTAGTTCCTCAGTATTGAGCACTTGGACCATATTGTAGTGCATCAAGCTTAGAGTGTTTGGGTATAGGTTAGGAGGACCCCCCACCCTGTAATAGTGGTATAGTAGGAACATTTGTGGACTCCCATATTTTGTCTACATATAATCCTCACTATCCCTCATAGTCACTATTACAGGGTGGGTGTCCTCCTGAGGTATAGGTCCCTACGCAGGGATCCCAGGGAAGCTTACCGCCAGGCTTTGAGACTCCCGCGTAGGATTTTCCACCTCAGGAATTGAAGTTTAGGTGATCCAGTCAGAGTAGCACCCTAAACCCTAAACCCTTGACCGCGTCCACTGAACCCTAAGGGTCCACGTACCAACATCTACCTCGGCTGTTGGTATGAGCAGTTGCAGTACATGTTTTGGGTAAGTCAATGTCTTCTACGTACTTAAAATCTCAGGGGAACAGCCATGACACTTGTCAGGGCCGCTGGTGATTTGTGGGAGAGGTCTGCGAAGGCAGATGAATGCATGTATTTTTTTGGGTTTAGGTTTTAGGGTTTGGGTTTAGGGGTGTATCAGGGTCCCATGGGTTTTGTCTGGTTTGGGTTTACTTTGGCTGGTTCGAAACAGCCTGCCCATGTCTATTTGGGAAGGATGGAATGGATCCATAAGCCTCTGTTCTAACCTCCGTAACAACTCATATTGCCGATGCCCTCATCCCAACTAAGACACATTGCTGAGGTCTCTTTGCCTGAGATGTTGAAGGGCGCAACCCAAACCCTGGACCCTACCTGGAAACCACGCGGTTTAGGGTTTAGGGTTGTATGGGTTATACCCACTGACCAAGAGGTACGTGCTACTAAACTGTAGGTACTTGAGTTCCCTAAGCCCTACGCCCTAGACCCTAAACCCTACCTGGACCCCAAAAGTAAGTAAAATAATCGCCCAAAATTCTAAAAACTGCCCAATTGGCTCCTATTCTACATTCTTCTATTCTACATCCTAAGCCCTAAACCCTACGCCATAAAGCCTAAACCCAAAGCCCCACACCCTGAAACCCCTAAACCCCTGAACCCTGGTGTAGGGTACCTCAAGCCAAGGGATATTTGACCTTAAACCCTAAACCCTAAGGAAGCACTAAGCCTTAGCTGAACCCCAAAAGCATGAAGTTTTTTGGGGTTCAGGAAGCCCTAAATCTCTTATTTTTACATATTTTGGGGGTCCAGGTAAGCCTTAAACCCTAAGCCCTCAATCTCTTTCGGCCAGGCCTTGCGAATTCCCAGGCTGTCCCTTCCACGCATCCAGTCTTCGAGGCGCTCTCGGAGGCCAGATTTGGGGTTTGGTGTTTAGGGTTTAGGATTTAGGGTTAAGGGCTGAGGGTTTAGGCTTAGGATTTAGGGTTTAGAGTTTAGGGTTTGGGATTTAAGGTTTACGGCTAAGGGTTTAGGATTTAGGGTTTAGAATATAGGGGTTATGCAGGATTTACGGCTTAAGGTTTAGAGTTTACGGTTTATGGTTTGAGATATACGGTTTAGGGCTTCGGGTTTAGGATTTAGGGTGCCCTAAATCCTAAACCCTATTAGTGTTTAAGATGCAGGATTTAGGGCTGAGGGTGTATAGGGCTGAGGATTCGGGATCTAGGAGTGGGGCGTAGTTTTACGATTTATGATTTAGCGTGTAGGGTTTACGTTCATAGGGTGTATGGATTGGCCAAGGATGAATAAGGATCTAGGGCTTACGAGCTGGGGTTTTTGGGGTCCCGGATTTAGTAATAATCCAGTTACGCATGTTTTTATTTGTGCTGATGACAATGCCTCCAAGAACAGTAGAAATAATGCCAACCCTAAACCTTGGGTACTGCCCCCTCTCAGTAACACTTGGATCATAATTAAAATATGGTTATATATAGCCCTTAATAGGACCCATAGTATAGACTGTTACTGGGGGGGGGGGCAGTACCCAACCTAAACCGAAAATGAACAAGGTGTTGGTAAAAGGCTCAGGGTTTCGGAGTCATGGCACACGGTGCAAGGTTGTAGTCAGACTTTTCATCGACAGCACATGGCATGACCCTGTACACCCGAACCTCAGAGTTTGGGGTTTAGGGAGTTTAGGGTTTATAGCATCATGTACCTGGGTCATGCAGGAATTGGCCCATTAAGAGTAGTGTTGAGGACGGGTTCAGGGCCTGCAACGTACTAATTACGAGCCAAGCTAAACTAGATTCTAGATGGTCTTACACTACATGATGCTACATGGATGAGAAAACCGTACGTGGGCATTACGTGTCACTCTTGCAGTTTAGCGACTCTGATTTTGTGGTTATTGTGGGATGGTTCTGAGGCCCATGGTTCCGGGCTTGGAAATAAACAGCAGCTGCCTCTCTGGGCTTTGGATGTTGATGTGAGGATTCTATGCGTAAGCTGGACCCTGTACTACTAAACCCTAGGTCAGGCCTATTCTGTTCATGCTGACTCTACAGACCCTGTTCTGCGAGCTTTCTCGCCTTCGCAAAACTTGCCTAAAGCCATATGGACCTATGATTTGACCTCAATGTAACTCTAACCTCTTAGCCGCGCAGTTGCTACCCAAGGGCTCCTGTGTAGTTCCTGTTGGATTTTCAATCAACTACCCCAAAAAGGAAATACGTAGAAGGCTCCGGGTTTTGATGAAGTCTGGAAATCGGGTCTTCCAGAAGAGAATCTCAGCTCAAGGCCACTGTGCGGCAGGCATACAGACTGCCCTTGCACATCCCACAACTTACCTGAAGAAAAGCCCTTTCCTGCGCATCGAGGTTCCACTTCCAAACAGCTAAGTACTAAGGATTTGGGTGATTGTGTTTGTAGCACAGGTGTTGAGTGCTCTCTTTTCAAGTGGCTCCATGTCAGGGTTTCAGGCTGCAGGATGATTATTGCGGATTAAGGGTTTAGGATATCGTGTTTATTTAGGGTTTAGAGTTCTTTTTGGGTTTGAGGTTTAGGGTCCAATTAGGGTTTAGGGTACGCTTAGGGTGCGTATAGGGTTTTCCGTCTAGCCTCCTGAGACCATCTTACATAGATGGCAAGATAATTGTGGTAAGATACTGCTGCGATAGTGGCATCTGTCATGCCTGGCATTCCTCAACAGGCACTGCAAGATTTTCTTTGCATCCCATTGTTCCACAGGGTTACGGAAGGAATTCTGACTCAGAGAGGCAGAGGTACTTGGGAATTGTGTCTTGAGTTTGCGGCTTGAACGATTGAGGGTCATCGGTATGCAAGCTGCAAAAGATGTCTGCACGCAGTCTCGCTGTTTCATATGGCATGTTGTTGCTGCTGGCATTGGTCATTGCGACCCTTGCAGCCAGTCAGAACTTTCTGGGACGAGGGCAGCTGCCCAGATGGACGACTTGTCGCAGCCACTCCAGGCCGGACGATGTGCCCCCAGCCAAGCGCAACCGTATGCTGCAGCGGCCCAGACAAACTTTCAAGCGCCACACTGGCATGTCCAAGCGGAACAAGGACCTCTATTTCGCAAACTGGCCTCTGGAAGCAAATTCGTCGCGACCTGGGCGCAATCCTAAATTCGGGCGTTGGCGCAGGACATTGAAGGAGTCCAAGTCCTCCAAAGAATTGCTTAAATACTTGAACGTTGCGATGAGCAAGCTCGAGGTGGATGCTAGTGTGATAAGCGCAGCAATGCAGAAATGTGGGTACAGCCGCTGGTGGGGAACGCTCCTCAAAGTGCATGAGGCCCAGAAAACGTTGGAGTTGCAAACAGACGGCCCTAGCTCCAGGATTTTCTTGACAGCAATTGCGACGTGCCTGAAAGATCCTGGGTTGCTGTTAAGGAACTTAAAGCAAGGTACCATAATATGGGCTTACAGTAAATAATGAGGTTTCCTTAATGTAGCAACTAGATCTAAATTCCTTAACAGCAACCCAGGATCGGACTCTGCCAAATGAACTTCTAGCCAGTCGGAAAAAGCAGGGGTTGCAGCTCGGCAAGTCTGTTTGGCAAGCCATGCCCGTGCCGACGTCTGAATTTGACTTTCTACCGGCACTCAGCAGCGCATGGAACTTGTGTACAGCCGTTGCTGGGCTGCAGCTTCATCATAAGGCTGATATGTGCCAATTTACACAAAAAAAAGAGCATGGTGTCCCTATCACGGCAATGCAAGTTCTTTCTCAAAGAGGAACCCAGGTTGGACCCAAGGCACTGCGGCGGGCGATTGAGATTGAAGAATGGTCCGAAACGATTCCGATTCAGAAGGACATTCTCGCCTACACAACTCTGCTTTCGATGTACGAGCAGTGTGGCCAGCACAGACGAGTAGATGATCTTCTGAATCACATGGCCACATCGGGCAAAGTTGCTTGGTTGATGTTAAGGAACTTCTAGTTTAAGTCACTTTAACAAGGAAACCCCCCATTATGTATTAGATGCCCATATCATGGTGATTTAATTTAAGTCTCTTAACAGCAACCCAGGTTGTTCCCAACGAAGTGCTACTTGGGAATCTGGTTAATGAGGCTGGCATGCTTCACCACTGGAGCCGTGCCGACAGTCTCTGGGACATGATGGTGCGTCAACTTGCCGTGCAACCCAATGGTATTTGCTACACAGCTTTGGCAAAGGCACACCTCTTATCGGGACGGCCATCAGAAGCGATTGACAAAATGGATGCCATGGTAGAGGCAGGATTAGACATATTTGACGCTGGTGTAGGCCAAGTCTCGATACTCCGTTTGCAGGCACTACTATTGCTGTGCCATTCAGAACCCTCCGAGAGACATCTTTCCAATTTGGCTGGATTCATGAAAGACACTGCCAGCCTCAACTGCACAGGCTGGGGGTCATTCATGCAGAATGATTGGAAATTGGTGCGTCGAATGGGCAGGCGGCTTGGTTCCAAGCCGTTGTCTCTGAGCTTTCGCCAGATACTGTGCCACGACAACTGCAGGCGCTGCAGCGTAATGACCAGTTGGCCTGACTACCCAGCTGGTTCTGGCTATCTTCAAAAGCACGACGTCGAAGGTTCTAAAAGCTTTGCGTAATGCAATACTGAAATGCGGGAGCTTCTCAAGAGACTCCCGATATAAACCCTACTCGGGACCCCTGCTATCCTCTTGGAATCTCTACGTATCCCTGGCCCCCCCATCTTTTCTGAAACCCTAGGATCTGTGGCGGACACCCAGATTGCAGTGTCTGTGGAATCTTACTTAGGTCGGGGATTGGTCAATCCCATGGTTTAGGGCTTAGGTACCCAAATATGAGCCCAAACCATTCAGATTCTAGTATTTGAGCCTAGAGCCCCAGCAGGTGCGTGCTTGGACCCTTAGGGAAGGGGCTCCAGTTACCTTACATACATTACAGTTACTGTACAAGCCCAGTAGCCCACTATATAGGTAACTGGGAGCCCCAGGCATAGGCATCGGCAGAGATGTGGAGCAGATTGGTTGACACGTTGCATCATGATCCGCGCTCATATTACAGGAGCCATTGCAGGATTAAACCTTATATGACCCGTAATCTAGCCTCCTCAAACGGGGTTGTTTAGAGGATTATACATGAGAGCTTTATAGGGCGTATTACGGAGGATACTAGGAGCTTAGACTATGGCTCAGATAAGCCCACAAGAAACCCGAAGGTTGTCCCACGTAGGTGTAGGATTCAAGGCCATGGTTCCATCCTCTGTTAAAGTTAGTTGGTGTCAGGATTCGACCACAATTCGGGACAGCAAGCCACCACTGAAAGGCCGCAATTCTGAAGCGCGCGGGATTCAATGAGGCATTTGCAGAGTTGACAACGAAATCTGAGCATAGATCATACCTTGCAGTGTTGTTAGTTGTTACGGCAGGCGGCGCTACTGCGAATCGGCGAGTTTCAGGCTGCAAGTGCCTACCCAAAACCGGAACTTCAGCCTAAACCTTAAACCCCGTTGTTGCCAAAATCTATTTGGACCCTTTGTGTAACGTAAGGGTGCCGCGGCTTGGGGTCGAGGATTCAATGGAGTCATAGACCATTTGGGGGTTTCAGCTTTGCCATTTGCTGTTTGGTGTCCCGTTGGTTTTCAGTTGTCTGGGGCTTGTATGCGGCCAAGTGTTTCTACATCTCAGGAGTTACAGGATTACCTCTAGCAACTCATGCGAACAGTGGCCCCTTGTGTAGCAGGCTACACCTCGGGCTTTAACTCTACAAAACTTACCTGCCTTGGGATCAAGGTCTTGGTGCTCTGAGCAGCACTTCCCAAAGAGTGGGAATGTAATCTACTTGCTAGCTGTGTAGTGGATGGAGCGAGTTTCGCACCAGCTAGGATCCCCAGGGCATGAGGCTGCAGGGTGGTGCAAAAAACCCTGAACCCTAAACCCTAAACCACTGGTCTTTTAAGTCTAGTGCCTAATCATCTTGTTTTGAGATGGAAGTCATGAAGGGCTTCGTAGACGAAATCACATGTTCCCGGCGCCCGGCGCCCTGTTAGCAACAACACGGTTCATGATTTCTAGATTTTTTCAGCTAGGCCGTGGCTCGGCTTACAGACGCCAGCAGTGGGAGTTCTTTTCTGGGCCATCATTGTAAAAAGCCCAAGAAGGAATGCAAAGCTGTACCTGCAGATACTATCGCAATGTGGAGCCAGCTTTCCTGGTGGCTGGAGTGCGGGCTTGCGATCATACTGGCGGCCGCGTGTTTGATGCTGACCTTGCCTAGGGATGCCGCCTGTGGTCAAATTCTTCAAACTCTACCGTAGGATTAGGGTTTAGGGTTTAGGGTTTAGGGTATTTTGGTCTTCTTTTCCTTGTAGAAGTATGGTACGGGGTACCTCAAATAGGCCCCGAAAGGATATTGGTAATTAATCCGGCCCCTACATTACAAAATCAATTTGCATTACCCCTACAATCCCCTACACACATCCAGTGTCCATTCGAATTTCCCATTTCAGTCTACATTTGCTTCCCTTGTAGATTACAGGTCATTTCCATCATTGAGACTAGAGTCCAAACTCCTAATATCTCCCTTAATAGCCCCTACAATAGTCCCTTATATGATCCTCCAGATAATCCGCTTTAAGGAGTTTAGACTATAGCTCATTTTGGCCCATACATGTATCCACTTATCTGAGAAACTATATTCTGAACCTCGCAGGCCCAAATGCCTGACGGTAAAGCACGAATCTCAATCTCAGACACTTTGTGGTTTCCCAAAATTAGGGTACCATTTTGGGAGTCCCCATACTGAAGGCTAGAGCATTTTGAAGTTTACATTGGGGTCCACCCTTTTATGGAAACTACCTTCTACCTGGAGTTCAAACCTTGAGCTAGACGCTGGCCCTGAACTTAACCCAAGGGGTGCCTTGCCCAACACCTTGGATTATCATACATCCTACTTGGGCTCCACAAGTAGGTAAAGTTATAGCCCCAATGCCGTAGAAGATAGCCCAAGAGGCAATTACTTTACATACTCTTGGGGTTCAGGTAAGTCCTAGATTTACGCAGAACTGCACACTGAGCTCTACATCCCAGACTGTCACTCTTGATTGAAAGCGCTGAACCCTAAACTCCCCGAAACATCTTGAAAAGATCGCTACGGGCCCTACTTGGAGAAAACTCCGAAACCCCAAGGGGTGTGTATACATAAAATTTTGGGTTTAGGGTTTAAAGGGTTTATAGGGTTTAGGGTGAAGGCTCCCGAATTTCAACACAAAGCTCCAAGCCGTGCTGTGACCATGACCCTCTTTCAAGGGTCCACGAAGGGGCCCCTATCTAGGGGTTACCTGAACCCCCAAAATTGGTAAAATAATGGCCCAAAACCCTTAACCATGGCCCCAAAGACGATTATGTTGCTTACTTTAGGGGTTCAGGTAGGGTGTGAAGAAACAAGCCGCCCTTGGAGGGCTCCAGTTCAGTCCAGCTGGTGCCAGGGCCTCAGATTCGAAAGCATCGAGGCTTCTGGATCCCAAGAGTATGTAGAATAATGGCCTCCTGCTCTATGTTAAAGGGATTTGTGCCATCATTTTGGCTCCTTTTGAGGTCCAGGCGATGGTTTTTGAGGCTTGGGACGGGGTGCAGGGTCCTCGTCAAAAATCAAAGAGCTCTCATATCAAATGCGTTCGGCAACATAGCGCCCTTCTCGAGGTCCATCTTCTGGCTTGCTCTTCTTGGGTTCCAAATCCTCTGGTTGGAGTCCACGCGGTTTAAGATGTAGAGTTCAGGGGAACAGATAGAGAGCTCGGGGGTGCTTGATGAGCTGCGTAGGGCGCTTGACGGGAATGCCCCATAGTTTAGGGTTTAGGGTTTAGGGTTTTATACACCCAAACTTTGGAAACTATGGTCTTACAGTATGCCCAGGGTCTTCCAGGTTTGTGTCCATGCACCGTACCACGGCGTTACCGGGATTACCCGGATGAGCCTTTGACTTCGACGAACGCAGTGATCTTCAAAACACGTCTTTGAAGGGTATCTAGGGAAAGTACCCAAAGTCCAAAAGTATGTGGAATAGTGGCCTTTTGGGCTATGTTTGAGGGTTTTGGGCGATTATTTTGCATACTTTTTGGGGTTCAGGTAGGGAATCAGCAGATACCCTGGTACTATGTGGGATGCACCGCGCACGGTTCAAGGCTTCAGGTATCTGACCACCCGTCAACCCCGGGTCCTGTTATGTTTAGGGTTTAGGGGTTTAGGGGAACTTCAAGTGAGTAAGGAGCCATAGTCTAGACTTCTTAAAAGGGGGTATATAGGGGATTATACAGGCGACTACTACAGGGCTTATTAAGGAGGATACTAGGAGTTCAGATTATGGTTCACATGGTATATGGAGATACAAAAATATGGTTGTTTCCCTAAACAGGGGGCTCCAGTATAGACCTCCCAATACAATCATCCTTACTACGGGGACGCCCAAACGGTACCCTTAATTTTGAGAAATTCCCATTTGTTCACACACAATAAGATGGTCTCCTTTGGATGCTAATTGAAGTTCCTTCATGCTGGCGATATCGCAACGACCTCGCCAAATCTTATCCTCAGTGGTGGCTAATACAGCAACGATCCCAAATCGGCTTAATAGGAGGTTCCGAGATTGTCTTTAAACCCGAAACCGTAACCTGAACCCATAAAAGGGCCAGTCAACAGCAACTCGGGGTAGCCTGAAACTCTGAACCTACCTATACTCTGGCTGGAATGGAGCAAGTTGGAGCTAAATGATTTAAGGGTTTAGGGCTTACGGACCCAAAAGGTTTAGGATTTTGTGTTTAGGGTTTAGGAAGTACTCAATTCTTGGGTTTTGTTTTTTTGGTACAGGTTTGAGTGGAGTAGATGGATACTGCGTACTTGGACCCTTAGGGTTTGCACCTCACACCGTCAAACCCATTTAAT